ACACATATGATAAGACTTATAATAAAACTTATAAATTAATAAATATAATAACTTATAAATAACTTATATAAACAAAGAACTTATAATACTCCCTCTGTCCCTCATAGATCTTCCCATTAGCCCTTTTTATTTGTCCCACATAGATCTTCTCATTACTTTTTTTAACATTTAAAATACCACAACTACCCCCACTTACTTTATTTATTACACCTTTCTCACCTTATTTAATACACCCCACACATTTTCTTAAGGGTATTTTGGTAAACATTCACCTTTTTCAACTCTCCTTAAAAACCACAAAAAGTCAAAACGAGAAGATCTTAGAGGGACGGAGGGAGTATAACTTATAAACTCATAACAAATACTAAAGTATATAAAAGTAAATAAAGTATAACAACTTAAATTTATAACTTATAGACAAACACTTATAGATAAACTTAGTAAATAAAAAAGTTATGCTAATATAACACAACGGGGGGGGTTGTTGGATAAAAAGTAAATACTTTTTGGTTTTTTATATTTTCTTATTTTTTTGGTTTATTTAATAAAAATGGGGGAACCACGCTCAAAAGATAAACTTCTCCAACTAAGGTAATCGAAGAAACACCGCCAAGAACCCAAAACAAAATGAAAAAGAGAACAAATACAAATTGAACATTACACGTATAATAGGCACTTAGACAATATATTACGTCTCGAGTTGATTCATATCCTTCACCACATATATGACATGACTTAGGCGGTATGACATGACTTGAAAGGATTCCTACAACACGCATCTATAACATGCGCGATGATATGAAAGTATATACAAAATTTTGGAAATAACCAAGAATATATCATTCATAGTAAGCATACAGTAATGGATTATGGAAAGCCACACTTGAATAAACATTTTGGGTCTTAACCAAAATAATCCTATAAGCGGTCACGGTCGACCAATTTGTACAACGGTCCACTGTTCGGTTCCCACGGTTTGGTCTTAGATTCCAAAGGTTCACTGTACCCTAGACCACCATGTCTATACTTGGACGGCTGAGGTGGTGAACCGCAGAAGAGCTAAATGGTCCACTGACCCACCGACGGTTGACCGGGCAGATGCCCAGACACCGTGAATGGTCATAGTCCATGATGGCGGTCGACCGTCCTGATGCCAACAACAAGTAGTGGTACATTCCCACAACTATTGTATATCCTTTTTGTCTAATTTTCATTAAATTATGAACATGTATGATAAAACGTATATTTCCTAAGGCTCATTGATAGATTTTAACCAAATTCGTGGATATATGGATAGGAGAATATGATTAACGAACCTTGGATTACATCGTAGATTACGAACAAATAATCCTATCAATGTAACTATATCGAATATAACTATGAATTCGAATGCTAGAAGGGCAACATACTCACCTCTAGAACATACAGTTGGTGGATGAAGACGGTACAAACGGTGGTCATGTCTCACGAATGCACAACGGACAAACTTCATCCTTCTTCTTCTCTTCTTCATCTTCCGGTGGTCCTCCTCCTTGGTCTGCTGCTGGTTTGCCAGTCCAAGCCAAGAGAGAGGGGAGTGTGATGTGAGTTAATGGGTGAAAGAATCAAAGTGTGAAGGGGAGGGGAAAGGGAGTGTATGTATTAAATATAGATGGTGAAGATTTCTAGGCAAAGAGAGGGGGAGTGAACCGTGGGTTAATGAGGAGGATGGGTGACAACTCTTATGTCAAAAACTGACCTGAACGGTACGCGTTTCCGCCCGAACTGGTCCGAATCGAGATCCGTTTGCGTTTTTTGAATCAGACAGTCAAAACTAGTATTATGATGTGATCAAATAATTTTTTTCTCAAAACTTTATTTTTTCCAACTCTGGTCTATATCTATAATTATATAATTAAATTAATTAATTCTAATAGGCCGGGTTTCAGGGTATTACACACGCCCACTCTCATGTTTCCGAATCATATGTTATCAACCTTGGTTAAGAGAGAGCTTCTCTTACTCAGTTTTTGTTTGAAAATAATTAGTCTTTCCATAATGGAATGGGGTGATGCCCAATGAGGGTTAGATGAATTTACACTTTTCCTTTTCTCTGCACGATAACTAGCAAGTCAAAATGGGGGACTAGGACGGGGGCAAGGCCGTAATACGGATTGCAAGCATGGAAGTTGCCAGTACCATTGGAAGTTCAAAAACAATTTGACTTTGAGAACACTTTGATCTCCTCAAGGCAATAAATATCATCAGTTAGTTATGCACCCACGAGGCCTGCACGCCAAAAGTAGCAAGACTTGAGGAACAAGCTTCCCCTGTTTATAAATGCTACCCTTCTGGCATTTGGAAGGACACAACTGATTTAAAACAAGACAATTCATTCAATATTTACGGAATTCACACACACACTCTCTCTCTTTTTCTCTCTCTAGACCTCCTATAGGTCTACGATGATCCTTCACCCTAGGGTACCCGGGATCCCTCATATTGTATGGAAAATTATTATGTCCATTTGTCTATGAATGTGAAAAGTAGTTAAGCCAACCAATACTAGCACATTAATAATGCGTAGAGAGAAGTTAAACTAATGGAGTAGTTGTGATAGAACTTTTCACTAGCAAAATTAACTAGCAAATTTAATAGTTCAACTAGTTAAAGTATCTAAAAAATTCCCACTACCTGAAATCAATTCATATCTTCTTTTTATCATCACCAATCAAATCAAAGTGTTACTCTGCTCAAAATTTTCAACCAAATTTGAATTTGGAAGACTTTCGATATTAATGAGTACACTTTGCCTAACTACTTTTTAATAGAAAATTTTATTCTGTATACCAATCCTTGTGAATACACCACAGGAATAAATTGACCATTTTTAGGAAAAATTACTATTATTAAAACTCTTTTGTCAGAAATTTCCTGCCTACCCCATCTCCTTGCCCGGGATCTCTGTAGCGCCCAAAAACTCGGCTTAGTATATTTCATTAATTTATAAAATTAATTAATTACTAATTTGGTCAGTATAAAGATTATTTTCTAATTTTGTTTCTAATACGACGGTTTATCTTACATTGTAGACCTCTCTATTTTGAACCCAACCACGCAAGCAGATCATGAATCGGACTTATTGGGCCCAAGATACGGCTAACGAATAAGATAATTGGGCTTATACTTATTCAATATAGGCTAGGAAGTGTAAGTTGGACCCTAAACCTATTTAGTTATATATAAAACGTGCCAAGTGTCGAAACACAGGCTTGTCACATTTTTCGTATTAAAGCCGTGTTTGTTTTTATGACAGGTTTTGATAATGCCAAACCGCCGTGATCAATCCAAACATTGAATATACAAGGCGAAGAACGAAGATAAGAACAAGAGCTAAACGAAGACCAAGAACGAAGACCTTAGTCTTAGTATCGTTGAGCCGGTCTTTATTGTGATCAAGACCGACCCAATCTTTACACATTGGCTCTTTAGGCTAAATTCATTTCATTGCATTTCTTGCATCATAAAAATGTTTTTCAAACATGTGTAAATCATTAAAAACACTTGGTGTTCGCCCAAACCAAAAACCAAGCCATCCAGTGTTCGGCTTTCAGAACCAGCGTTCGGCTTTCGGTTATTGGCATTGGTTTTTGGCGTCCGAACCAACCAAGTGGTTTTCAGCATTTTATGATTAGTTTTCACTCCTTTGCATGTTTAAACGGTTCTCCAACAAAAACACTTTGAAAACCATCTTTCGCTTTTGGTCGTTTGACAAAAACCACGCAAAACGGCGTAAACTTGGCTAGCCGTGGTTTTTACTCAAATGACATGGTTTTTACATTAACTCACTCGATTTCTCATCCAAATACATCAAATAATGTTTTAAACACTTGGTTTTTATTTTGGAGAACTTTGGATTTTTCGGTCGGTTTTTGCATCGGTTGGCTAGGCCGTGGTTAAGGCAAAGACCATGGGTTTTTGGCTAACCACCCACCCAGCGATGGGAAGATCTTCCCATCGATGGGTAAGCGGTCCCTTAGCCAAACCAACTTCCAGAACCATGCCAAACAGCGATGGGAGGTTCTACCCATCGCTGTTAAAGCCTTGGTGCAACATTAACACAAGGCAGAACGACCTTGCCCAGCGATGGGAAACCTATCCCATCGATGGGAACCCAGCGATGGTAAGGATATACCATCGATGGGTAGGCATGACCGTTGGAAGTCATTTAAGGTTGATTCTTTCCTTGTTTGGAAGTCAACCTCCCACCCAGCGATGGGAAGCTTGTACCCATCGATGGGTAGGCAACCGTTGGCTTCAAAATTGGCTTACCAGCGATGGGTAAGTTCCAAACATCGATGGGAAGCGAATATCCTGCAGATCCCAAATTTATTCAATCACATAAATCAAGCCAATCACCCCTTTAATGCATTGGTCCATTGGAGCCTATTTTTGCACTATAAAAAGGGGTGTTTGGGTCTGCCTTTCTCACCAATTCACTTCACAATTCTTCTACTTTCATTGCATTCAAACAACATCTTTTTCCATAGCTTTTTAGAGCCATTTTGTGTGAAGGTTGAGTTGTTCTTGAGCGTACTTAGTTTACTCAATATCTACTCTAAAAGAGAGTCTTGTTCTTGAGTGCTTTTGTGTTCTAAGACACGTTGAGAGAAAGTATTTCTCTCGTTTGATTCAAAGGAAGGACTGTTTCCTTCGAAGGATTCGTTGAGGTTCGTGTGACTCGTACTCTCAAGTTGTAAGGGTTTGTTAAGCACCGTTAAGCTTAACGAGATAGTAGTGTAGCTCGAGAGAGTCTCTCGGGAGGCTGGATTAGCCACAAGTTGTGGTGAACCAAGGTAAAATTCGGTGTGCCTCTTACTCTTCTCTTTACTCATTGTTTTTATTTTTTAATTCATGCGATTTCTTCGATCAAACGCTATTCACCCCCCCTCTAGCGTTGGTCTATTATTCTAACAATTGGTATCAAAGCCTAACTCGCGTCCAAACTTAACCGTTTGAGAGTAAAGCGATCATGGGTTCTTCTTCTAGAAATCTTTATGCAGGAATCGGAGAAGGTCAATCGACTTCCAGGCCACCGCTCTTTGATGGCACCAACTACACTTATTGAAAAGAGCGGATGAGAATTTATATCCGCTCAACCAACTTCCAGCTGTGGTTAGTCATCAAAAACAGCGAAGAAACGCCAATGAAGAAGGTCGGTGAAAAACTCGTCCCAAAGACCGAGGACGAATTTAATGCTGAAGACATCAAAAAGTTGGAGAACTACGCCAAGGCAATCAACATGCTGTACTGCGCGGTCAACCCAGATGATTATCGCAAGATCTCTTGCTGCACCATTGCCAAAGAAATATGGGACAAGCTGGAGGTCACATATGAAGGTACGAACCAAGTTCGGGAAGCCAAAATTGACTTCCTAACGCAGGAGTACGAGATGTTCAAGATGAAGGAAGGCGAAAGATCAATGACATGTTTGATCGGTTCTCAAAGATAATCAACGACCTTCACGCTCTCAAGAAGACTTACGCCAACAAGGATCTTGTGAGAAAATCCTGCGGAGCCTCACACCCGAATGGAGATCAAAGGCTGATGCAATCTACGAATCCATCGGAGTCTCAAATGTCACCATTGACGGGTTAAGAGGTAATCTCAAAACTTATGAATCTACTATTCTGACCCCGTCTTTGGATGAACAAAAGAAGAAGGGAATAGCGTTGAAAGCAACCAAGGAGACCGTGGAAGAAGTGTCAAGCAATGACGACAACGAGTTCGGACTCATCATCAATAAATTCCACAAATTCATGAAGAAAGAATTTGAATGGAAAGGAAGAAAGCATGACGGTCCCCCAAAGTGCTATGGTTGTGGCGAGATAGGCCACATCAAGCCGAGGTGTCCAAAAGGCAAAAGCGGAAAGGACAAACCTAGCTTCAAAAAGCAACGTGCCTATATCTCATGGGGTGGCAACTCCGGCGATGAGTCAACTGATCAAGAAGAGGAAGAAGCCGCCAACCTCTGTCTCATGGCACACGAAGACCATGTCGACGAAGTACAAGAGGTATGTACCCCTTCTTCCGACTCTTATACTTTTGAGGAGATGCAAGAAGCACTTTGAGAGCTTTATGATGAATTTGTTAGCGCTTCTAAAACCAACAAATCATTAAAGAAACGTCTTTCAACTCTTGAAAATGATTTTGAAAAACTAGAAAAAGATAATTTGAAACAAGAAAATAAATTTTATGGCAAAAGAAGCGCTGACAAACCAGAAAGCTCCTCAAGTGAATGTGAATCTTGCAAAGCTTTAAAAGAAAAAGTTGCAAAACTTGAGAGTACGGTTAAGAAATTCAATACACCACACAAAGATCTTAACTTACTTCTTGACACTATGCATTTTTCTAAGGAAGGAATAGGTTTTGATAAAAATGAATTTAAGGATAAAAACGTTGAGCGAACACCTAGACAACCAACTAAGGCTCAACGTAAGAAAGTTAAAAATCAGGATAATAGAAAATCTAGTCAACCTAAGGACACTAGACAACCTAGACAAAAATCTAGGAATGAAAATGTTCATGCTAGACAACCTAGGAAAAATTATCAAAATGATTTTGTGCATAAAAATAATTTTTCAAATAGACAAAATAATTCTAGGACACCTAGAAGAGAGAATTCTCAAAAACCAATATTTTCTCAAAATAGGATGAATATGGTTAGGCCCCCTAGCAACTATTATCAACCTAGGAGGATGCACAACCCAAACGTAGTTTGTCACTATTGCAATAGGGTAGGACATATAGCTCCCGTTTGCTTTACTAGGCATAGGCACTGGGCACAAAATGAATCACACTACCACTTTGCACCTAACACTCAAGGACCCAAAAAGACTTGGGTACCTAAATCTTATTAAATCATTTTTGTAGGTGTGCTTGAAGGCATCAAGTGTACTTTGGTACCTTGTGGTGGTCCCAAAGTGGTGAAATACAAAGTCTAGAGGGGGGGGGGGGTGAATAGACTTTGTTATAGATTTAAAATCTTTTTCGTTTCTTTTGAAAACGTGAAAATAAGTGTTAATATAGAGTTCTTTTGAACTTTAGATTGTGTGCGGAATTTGGTGGGTAGAGTGAGCAGTAATCAATATGGATGGGTTAGTTTTCACAGTTAATATAATTGCAAGTAAGAGTAAAGATAAAAGAGAGAGACACGCAAACTTTAACGAGGTTCGAAGGTGGGGTAATCCTTCTACGTCCTCAAAATCCACTATGTAGTTGGTTGTTGAATAATGAACCAACAATTACACTTGTGTGAATTTCTGCACGGTATATCTTCGCAAGACCAATGTTGCTACTGCACTCGTGCTGGCTTTGTTGTTCCTTCGAAGGTCACGCTTCTTCAACAACTGCAAGATCCGAACAATAGGACTTGCAAGATCAACTTGTAAGAAAGTTGACCTACCCCCTTTAGGAGATGTGTGGATTATCATGAAGTACCCTCTATCCTAAAATTTTGTCATACTTTAGAGTCTGGAGGACATTTGGGTATTAAAAGAACTGTTCATAAGATCCTTGAATCTGGTTTTTTCTGGCCCACCATGTCTAAGGACACTGCTGAATTTTGTAAAAACTGCCCTAGGTGTCAGCAAACAGGTTCTTTAACTAAAAGAGATCAAATGCCCTTAACCTCCATCCTTGTTTGTGAGATTTTTGATATCTGGGGTATGGATTTTATGGGACCATTTCCTCCTTCAAATGGTTTTCAATACATCTTGGTTTTTGTTGATTATTTGTCTAAATGGATAGAGGCAGTGGCCACTAGGGATGATAACTCTCAAACTGTGGTTAAAAAATTAAGAGAACTCATTTTGAATAGGTATGGCATACCTAAAGCATTGATTAGTGATAGGGGCACTCATTTCTGTAATAAGACCATGTCAGCTGTCTGTGCTAAGTATCAATTACACAAAGGGTTTCTACTGGATATCACCCTCAGTGTAATGGGCAGGCAGAAATTTCAAACAGAGAAATTAAGAGAGTCCTTGAAAAGGTAGTTAGGCCAGATAGGAAGGACTGGAGTTTGAGAATTGAAGATGCTCTGTGGGCAATTAGGACAGCCCTTAAGACACCTTTAGGCATGTCCCCTTATAGGGTAGTTTTTGGAAAGGCCTGCCATCTTCCTGTTGAATTGGAACATAAGTCTTTCTGGGCTATTAAAGAGGTGAATCTTGAGTCTGACCTTAGTGGGCAGGAAAGGCTGTTGTAGCTAGTTGAATTAGAGCAACTTAGACTTGAAGCTTATGATAATTCAGTCATATACAAAGAAAAAACAAAAATATGGCATGATTCTCAGTTGAGAAAGAAAGAATTTCATACTGGTGACAAGGTACTTTTGTTTAACTCAAGACTGAAAATGTTTCCTGGAAAGCTCAAGTCTAAGTGGCTAGGTCCTTTTACAGTTGTCCATGTGTATGATTATGGTGTAGTTGACATTAGAAGTTGTGCTACTAACAAGTGTTTCAAAGTGAATGGGCACAGGTTAAAACTGTTTCATGAGGGACAACAAGAGGAGGTTGTGGACAGCTTGAGGATGGAAGCTGTCTGAAGAACTTTGAGAAAGAGTCTGGCCAAGGACTTTAAACAGGGCGGCTACCTGGGAGGCAACCCAGTGTTTTGTTTTTTACTTTGCTTGAAATAATGGACTTTGTAGACTGTGCTTGCAGCATTGAACAGGGAAGCTGGTTCCCTTATGGAACCAGTGATGAACCTCTGTCCCCTACTTCCTGTAGTTTAAGGAAAGTAGGAGAGGGTGTGATGTGCTAGTTAGGAGGTGTGATTTGGTGATTGTGTGATTGGCAGACCAGACCAGACCAATGGCACTAAGGACAGTGCCATACTTTAAGTGTGGGAGGGGTAGACTTGGTTGGCTTTAGGTTGTAAGCATATCCCCATTCCCTCTAGACAGAGTAGGTTGCATGCTCCCTTTAACCTTCAGTGATGTGTGTGCTTCTTTCTGGACTTGGGATTAAACCAAACCATCAATCATGGTCTCCAATTCTCAGCTAAGTTGTGGAGGACCAAGTATAGGAAGGGAAATGCTTCTTAGAATGTCTGAATGAATATTGCTTCTGGCTCTTATTCTGGAATGTCCATTTGGGCAGTGTACAGCTTTCAAACTCTCAAATTGAGTTGCACTAAAATTCTGGTGCAGATTTTTTTTTAGTGACTGTTAGCCTGGCTGTTTTGAGTTGGATTTTAGGTTGGTTGGTTGATTTTACTGATTGAGAACACCCTTAAAACAGCAACCTTTAGAGTGGAGTCATTAAGACCTAACCCAAACTGTTTTTTGCTACCTCTCTAGACTCTTAAGCCTGAATGTGTGTGGGAAAAACCTTTTGGACTTGGCATTGGTGGCCCGGCATCTCTGTCCCCTTAAGCAACAGATTCCGAAAGGAAACTAAATGTGTATGGAGCAGAGTTCAATTGGAAGGGCAAACCCCTGGTTTGGGCCGTAATCAATCCCAAAACTCCCACACATTTTTCAGTTTATCAGTTCTCTTTCTCTCGGGTGAGGTCCATGGGATGCCTTGATTATCTAAGTCCCGGGCTATCTGGAATGGGCCTGGGGTAGCTTGACCAAAAATCCTGTTACATGGGAGTTGGAGAATTGTAGCTTGAGGGTTGAAAAGGGGCAGTTTAGTAACAGTAAGGACAATTGGGACTTTGGCCTCATTCAAAAAGGATTGTGGGATCACCTTCTCATGAAAAAGAAGTCAGCCACTCTAGATTCAATTTAATCAGTCAGCATTCCTAAGGAAACTACATCATGCGATTTTGGTACAATTTGAGTTGGGAAGGTTGAAAATTCTACATTAGTTCATTTGGTCGGACTTTAGAGTAAGAAAAAGGAGGAATGTACCTACAGAAATGAGATGATGAGCTTTCTATACTTGCATTCTGCAACTTGGCCGAGGACGGCCAAGAAGTAAGTGTGGGGGATTTTGTTAGGCTCTTTTATTGTCTTTAAATTTCCTTACATTTACTAATCTTTGGGTCACCATTAGTGAGAATTTGGTTTAATTTAAGATCAAGAAAGAACGTTGACCATCCTAGAGGTTAGAGTGCAATTCTTGTGTTATTTTAGGTCCATTGGGTTAATTGTTAGAATCGGGCTAGACGACCCAAAGTGAAAATAACCAACCCGGCCCTTTAGTTGAGTACAAAAACTCAGGGCGTTGGTGAGAGAGAGCAGTTACGTGAGAGGAGAAAGGAACGAGAGAGAGGGAAGGTGAGATCGAAGAGTTAACCAGGAGAGAAATTCGGCGACCAGGCATAATCCGGCGAGCTAGACCTCGCGATCATCATCATTCATCGCACAATCACCAAGCGCTCCTCCCGATCAAGCGCTGTAACCGAACAGAGGAGTCATCACGTTCGTAGGATTTGATCCTCGAACGCTGTCCATAGGTACTTCGTTGTTTTTGTTTTCAAATTCGTGATACAGTTTTAATGTTTGAGGACGGTTTGAATTGTTGATTCGTAATTGAACGTGTGATTTCGTGCTATTCAAATCTGAGTCCTAATCTCTTGTTTGGACAATATTTTCCTATGATCATGTGTCTAAATTGTGAATCGATTATCATGATCATGTCCCGAGAGTAATCCCTCTCTTGTCCGGTGGAAATTTAGGATCAGTCTCAGGCAATCGTGATCATTGCATTGATTTGAGGTTTAGACAATTGTTGAAGGTTGTTTAACCCTGTTTTGTGCTCAGCTTCTCAAAACTGTTGACTGTAGGTCTCATGCCTCAGTTATTCAGTATGACATTCTTATTTGGGGTCAAACAACTGGCATAGAGTGTAGTTGGCTGTCCAAGTACATTGAATGTTCAAAAGGTTGTTATAATTGAATTTGTGCTTATGTTAATTTGCATCAGGCTTATCCTGAGGTCATTAGTGTAGGTACAGGTCCTTAGGTAGTGCTCATCTCTCTTAAGGACTGATTTTTGAGGTGGAGATTTAGCTCCTTGCTGAGAGAGCTAAATCTCACTTTTGTTCAACAACTTGTTTAGCTGAGAATCTGATTTTTTTACTTTGATCTGAGCAACTGTTCCTAATTCCACCAGACAAGCCTGCTATTCCATTTGATAACCACAAACGTTTACCTGAACTTCTCTCTCCTTCTTTGATCTGTTCTCATTGTTTCTGTTAAAATCTGTTTTCATTACGTAGAATTAGCATCTTATGAACAACCCCCCCCCCCCCTTGCGTGTGTGTGTTGTGGAAACTGAGCAATAAATCAAGAGAAGAAATAATAGAAGACAAATCTCCCTGTGGAAGAATGACCCTACTTACCACTTTGCTACCATTTTTATAAGTGTGTAGTAATTGGGGAATAGGTTAATTTGTGTCACCTGACAAGTGGCTAACAGAAGTCCATCATCAGAGATTTGGTTGTTGGCCTCGAGAGTATCAACTATTTCCATAAAAGTTGGTTCAACATAATTTTTAAAATGGGTTTAAGTAGCTCCTCACAATGGTTCTATTTCTAATGAGGTGATTAATGTCCTTAAATTGTTCCCTTGATAAGAATATCCCCTTAAATGTTGTGTAACCCTCAAAATACAATCCAATGGGGGTAAAGATATCATCTTTTCCTACGCTTCGTTTCTACACTTAGTTGAGCATTGTAGCTGAAATAATTCTTCCCTATTTCTGCCTAACACTCAATAGTAAACCAAACACTATAAAATATTACCTGTTTTCGTGAATTCCTTTCTTATTAGTTTTGGTGGCCTCTTGAAACCTCCCTTTGTCCTCTAATTGTATCATCGATTGTCCCTTAGCAATCTGTTCATGTCACCCGTGGGACAACATTTAAAAAAAATAAATAGTTACAAGTTAAGAAGCAAAACTATAACCCAAGAAGATAAAGAAGTTAATTGGGCCTCTAAGAAAGATCAGCCAACCAAAAACAACATCGACAAACCAATTTAAAACCAAACCAATTAAAAAAGATCTTGATATGTAAGCCTTTTTCGGAGATTTTTGCTGACTTCCAAGAAGCTCTTTCCTTCCATCACCGCAAGTTTATTGGGAATAAGAACGGGAAGAACTTTGCCACCGGCACTTGTGACTCGTTGCAGCAATTCCCTAACTCTTTGTCATTCCTCGACGCTAATAGATTGGACTAAAATTTTAAAATAAAAATTAAAAAAAGTGAAAGGATAATAAAGACGAAGTTTGGAGCCTCCTTTCACACAATCACACCTCACTGTCTCAAAAAAGTTTGCTTGTGTTAGTCACAGTATTGTCAAAATTAAATGCAAGGTCCTATGGTATTTCCAGTCTTCTCTATTAGTGTGCTTTTAAAAAGAATGTAGGAAATATTTTCATGGATCTAGATCACCTTTCTCCAAGTCTAAATAGATGTAAGGTTCATGTTTCTCCTTGATAGCCAATACTCATTTATGTGAAAAACTCTAATAAATATATTGCACAATAATATTGCTATATATACAAAGAGGATAACCTATGACAACACTTGAAGTGAATATGTACTCCGTAATAAAAAAACTCCAAGATCTGGAGATTTGCTTGGAGATATGTTGCCACATCTCAATCGAACAGTGAATCCCTAGCTTTTCTTAGTTCCTCTTCACACTGAAACATAATTAGAGAAAATAGAAAACATAAACCACACACATAAGTACCATCATTATTCAAATCACTCAAAAACAACCCAAATTCTCAACTAAAAGAAGAAAATAATGTTAGAATACTGTTAGGACTAAAATGCAATGGGACTAAAATTAAACTTTAGGGTGGAGACTATATTATGATCGACTATGTTTTTCCAGGTTGATATTGTAGTCTATGCATATTTCATATCTAACGAACACATAACTAATAGATAAGTATCAGAGTAAATTAGTTAGTCAACATAGAATAAACAAATATGGAAATATCTAAAAATTATGTGAAGCAAGGGTGATGGAGGTGAATGGAGTGTGTCTAGGCCTTTCTGTCAAACGAAGTGTAGACCTTTCTGTGGTTTGACTCGAATGGAGTTACTATTCAAATTGAGGTATTCAACTCATGTGAAACTGCACCTCAAACTGAGTTACTCAATCATTCAAAATCAAACTTATTTTTTTAAACAAATGATTGAAAATTTGAAAGTGAAGTGCTCACCTTCTATGGATCAACTTTCAATATTAGCAAGTATATGAAATGCTAAAAGAACTGGGCAGAATAACTTGTCATCAGAAACTCAAAATCACCAATGGGAATAGAAATAGTCTAGTAGGTTTGTGGCAGGCTGATGGAGAAGAAAATTAGAAACGAAGTGAGTTGAATCAACACTCCAAATGCCCAAATATCCCGACTAAGCAGATTAGAAAAATGAAGTGGGTTGAATTAACCCTATAACTGTCCAAATAAAAATAGAGTGAATATTAGAATACAGTATTAGAAAATGAACAATATTAAGCTCGATAACAAATAAACAGAGTGGTAATCTCAATGAAAATGAGCTGTATCAGAAAGGGGTAGATTCTGCTTTCACTTCGGACTGGCCCCCCGGGTGAAGATGTGTTGAAACCAAATGGAGCAACAAATTCAATATAAAGAATGTAAAGTACTAAGTGCTAAATATAAACTTATACTAAACATACACAACAAAACAATAACTCCACTCATGATTTCTATTTCACAGCCAAACACATTTTTTTAATACCAATATCGTATTTGGAGTGTTATATGTAGTTAAAAAATATCCTTTTATATTTTAAGAATAGTTTATAATTGATTGATCAAAGAAATTGAAACATTTAATCTAATGGAGAAATTAGAAAATAACTTCTAACACCACACTCATATTACTCAGCAGCCAAGAATGCTCTCAAATATTTTACAATAGAAATGCTTTGAGACTCTAAATGGACTTGTACGGAAGTCAAAAAATGAGAAAAGAATTCTCAAAGTAAATTATTGTTCTAAACAAATCACAAATTTGCATTTTACAAAAATACTAAAGCTAATTATCTTGATTAAACGAATACAATTGTTTGTCTACTCTAAGAAGCACAAGTACCTGATGAATCATTACGATTGTTGAAATTGAAAAATTATAT